GCCCAGCCCCTTGCCCGACCCGCGGGGGATGCCCGGCTCCATAGGGGACCGCTCCGGGGAAGCCCTGTCCGACAGGGGAGCCCCCGTCCCATATAGACTCCATAAGGGATCGCTGTTCCATATGGGACCCCATAGGGGAAGCCCTGCTCTGTAGGGAAGCCCCAAACCCATACAGAACCGCGGCTTTAAAGGGGAGCTCCTGCTCCATATGGGATCCTCTGCAAAAAGCCCAGTTCCCTTTGGGACAACACAGGAGAAACCCTGCTATATGGGGCAAGCCCTGCTTCATGTAGAACCCTGTGGGGGAGCCTTGTATAGGACCCCATAAGGAAGCCCCTGTTGCACAGGAGACCCCACATGGAGTCCCTGCTCCACAGGGAGCCCCAGTGCTGTGTAGCACTCCAGACACCCACACAAACCCTTTGCCCAGCCTGCCTGCTCCCAAAAGCCATGGGGACACAGAAGAATCCCATCAGGCAAGGGATGGCTCTACCTCATCCCCTTCTCCTGCTTCTCTCTGTTCCCGCAGCCTCTCCCATGTTTGTAGCACCCTTCAGCACCAGAGAAGGAATAATTCAAAGTAGTTTGGGAGTTCTCCCATGCTTGGGGGGAGCAGGAGTGATGGCACACTGCATTTTTTGTGTCTCCCCAAACACCCTCCATCCCAGCTGCCACCGAGCCTCTGACTTCCAGACCTCTCTCCAAGGGCTCTGTGGCCTTTATGTATCTGAAATCAGGGGTTTTGATTTAAAATCCCCCTCTGAAGGGGCTCAGCCCTGTGTCACCTCACTCAAAGCCACTTCCTGGGCTGACTCTGACATCCAGGATCTCTTGTGCCAGCTCTGCTCCAGGGGACAAACACCATGAACAAGGCACTGCTGCTATTGTGCACTTTATTTCTCGGGGCCCTCCTGTCCCTGAGGATCCCGCAGTTTGGACAGTCTGCCCGTTGTTTCCAGGTGCAGATGGTGACGCTGGCGGCAGATGGGACAACCTCAGGGACAGACATGCGGGAAGAGAAGCAGAATTCTGACCGACTGCTCAGCTCTGATGGAACTCGAGTCGCCTCTTGCGGGATGGCTGTGAGCGGGATTGCGTGGGGATGTGCGTTCCCTGTTTGTTCCAGGGCCTTTAAAGACAGATCACTCGGGAATCAAATACAAACCAATGTCCTCTCGAGGGCCAAAATAAACTGGTTCCATTCACCTGCGGCACCGCGCTCACAGGTTTGGGTGCAGCACCCAGATCTGCACGGGGAAAKGAGGAAAAACAGACAAAAACAGCCCCAAACAGAGTGGGGAAAGCAGGGATTAAACGAGGAGAGAGGATCTGGCTGAGCACAACTCCCAGAGCTGGGGAGGACCCGCAGTGGGAGATTTGGCAGCGCCTGCCTGGCCCTGTGGAGACCTCCAGGAGTGACCGAGACAGGGCAGGAGACGGCTGGGCACACACACACACACACAGGCTGCGACACAGTGGGTGAAACATTGACATTTATATCGAAATATGCACTAACAGTGACTTCTACCAGCCGATGCATTTTTGCCAAAGCAGAATCACAATGGTTGTGTCCCGGGGAAGGCTCGGGGCAGCAGGTGGGCAGTGAGGGGAGGTTCCAGGGGCCTCCCTGCTCCTGCCTCACCCTTCCCCAGCACCTCACAAGACTCTGTCATTTCACATCTTTTGTTTGTTTTCRTCTCTGCTGCATAACCACGAAACTGGACGAGCTCACTCCGAGGAGGCCACAGCTCCAGCCCAGCCCCATCCCGAGGGATATCCAGAGCTGGAATTGAAGCTTTCTCACACGAGGCACTCAGATTTCAGCACTGGGTGAGCAAGGAGGCAGAACCRCTCTTGCCCACGACAYTTCTCAGGTGAGCAGGGCAGTTTCCTGCCAGGCAGCAACAAGCAGAGCCGAGAGCACTGAACCAGCACAGAGCGTGGCACCTCAGCAAGCCAAGCCTAAGCAGAGSCAGCAGAGCCTCCCTGGTGACGCTGGAGCCTCTGGAGCTGCCAAACTGCCCGGTCCACTCGGCACCCTGCCAACAGGGCTGGCTCACAGGGTGCTGAGGAGTCAGAGCTTTACTGGAGAGTACATTCCTGGTTAGCATCTCTTCAGCCAAACGCAGCAGCAGCAGCAGGGAGGGGAGCAGGGATGCAGAGATTAAACTAGCACACGGCCTTTTCTCACAAGCYTGGGAAGATGGAAAGCTCTCAGGGAGAATGGGTTTTATCCCGGCTCCCAGAGGGGGCTGGGGATGGGATAAGCCCTTCCCCAGGAACTCTCCATTGCCCTTCCCCAKTTTTTCCAGCCAGAAGCCTATGGGAAGTGTGAGCAGTGTTCCCTCAAAGCCTGCCCTGCAAGGCCGTGGAGCTGTGGGGAGCAGCACCCCTGGTCTGGATCATGGGCTGTGATCCCTCCTCTSCCACGGCACTCTGCACCTCCCCGTGTCTGATCCTGGCCAGGGGAACGCTTCCCCTTTCCTTCATCTGTGTGTAGATCACATACACTGGAAACAAAACACACACTATGCATGCAATCCAGGCAGGAATCCTGCTATGTTCACATCTACAGGAGGAGGGGATGAGCTGGGACGTTACGGGATTCCTCAACGCTAGGTCAGTTCCACACAGCCCTCTGGCTACAGCAAAGGGCAGACAGACTATGTACAGTACCTACGGGCTTCAGCAAAGCCACCTGACACCTCAACAGCCCTTCCTTGGAGCAGAGTGAAGCTCTCTGTTCCTCACAGCTTTACCTGCCTGGAATCCCGCGAGGAGCACAAACCCAGCTCCGGCAGGTAAGGCAGGGAGGAACACACTTGGTTTATTTGCAACTTAACCAATTCATCTAGGGCTCTGCCTCTCAGGTCCAAACCATTCCTTTCTGGAAGAGAAGCTCTCAGTTCTAAACGAAAAGTTGTTTCACTACAACCAGCCCTCTGAACTACAAAGCAAACCAAAACCCCGTGGAGCCATAGCCCTTTAGGAGGCCACCTGCCCCTAGAGCTGAGGAGCAGTGTCCAGGGCAGGAAAAGCTAAGCCTTAACTTCATTTCTTACTCTAAGAGGCAGTAGTTGCTCAAAGAAAATGTTTATACAAGTAAACCAGTAGTGATAAGTAAATATACACCTTGGGATCTGTAAAGCTTCAGAGTGATTTAGGCCTTGCAGCCAGCGGCTCTTCATGTAGGTTTGCTTTAGAAAAAAAGGATGTAACAGTCATACTTAATAAAAAAAAATAGAAAAAAACCTGCAAAGAGCTCAGGCATCTCAGAGGGATGTCTGTCAGTTCCAGAGGAGCAAGGAAGCGACTGCCAATWACTGGATCATTAAATTCCTACACTGAGCAACTGCTAAAAGCCAGCACATCATGGGCAGCAGGAGAAGGGGACAGCAGCAGCACCCGAGTGGGAGCACTCCCAGGAGAGCTGTTGGGAGGGAAGGAAGGTGCCCCCAGGGAGAGCTGCATGGGAGGGAAGGAAGGTGCCCCCACTAGCAGGAATGGGGAAACGAGCACGAGACAAGCACTGGGGAGTGTTACATGAGTTCAGGTAACTGCTTCTTTAAATTTCTGAATTCCTGTTTCAAGCTGCTTCAGAAAGGAGTGAGAAAACAACACGTGTCATTTAAACCCCTCCCCAGTAAAAAAACAAACAACAAACAAACCAACAAAAAATAACCCAAACARAAACCCCMAAACCGCCTAGAAGGTGGAAGTGAGTTTGGAAAAATGCATCTGTTCTGGCTTTTGCAAGTGGAATGTGATTCTTGCTCCCAGGCAAATACACAGAGCTGAAGCCTGGAACGGTGAGCCAGGAGCTGTCAGACAGGCTACAAGGGGTCTAGGACAACCACAGAGCAACAAGACATGAGAGGGGCACAGAGTGGCAGTCCCGTTCTCGTTTTAAATGAGGAATGGTTTAAAAGTAAAACTCTTCTTCAGCTAATTTCCTTCTGCAATAAAACCAACCCAGCCGGCCCTCGTATGTACAAGACCAGTTAAACATGAGCCTTCCCCCTCAAAACACTAGGTACGGACATCCGGTAACATTCTACAATGGAAAGTGCTTTAAGAAAGAAGGATTCTGTAGTGCCAGTGACAGAACTGATCTGATGGGCTGGATGATGCTCTCCACGCTGACTGCAGCGCCTCAGGCCAGGGCAGCTCGTTTCTCCTCGGGGGTCTCCTCCAGCAGCTGCATGATCAGTTCGTGGAGGGGCTTGCAGATCTTGGCGTAGCCCCCGCCCGTCAGATGCAGGAAATCAAACATGTCGTGGTAGGAGATGGTGCCATCCGAGTGCACGAAGCCCACGTCCACGTCCAGCAGCTGCACGTTGGGCAGTTTGGGSAGCGAGGCTTTCAGCAGATGGTTCACCTTGGCGTTCTTCTGCCGCAGTGGGTTTGGCTTCTCTCCACGAGGTAGCAGGCCCTGGTATGAGACGGGGCAGAAAAGAGCTTTGTGTGACTCTGGTGGCATCAGGAGCCCTGCTTTCCCTTCTAATTTGGGCTGCCTGTCAAGATTTAGGATGCCTGTAACAAGAGGAACTCATCCCTTGAATCAGAATTTGTCCATTCAGGCCTAATGTGACATGCAAGAGGAGCCAGATGAACTGCAAGCAGGGAAACTGCTTTCTTTTATTTCTGAATATATCAGCTCGTGCTCTTTCCATATACTTTCAACTCCTCAGCAAGACAGGCAGCAGTTGCACTGTTAGGACAGTGCCAGCTTGGATTTGGGCACCTATTTTCCCCTCAAAGGACTTCCTCAGCATCATTAATAAGTGGGATGGTTACTGGGAATGAGTGCTCTGGAGGGGCCAAAGGGGTGCTCCCTTTGCCAAGCCACTAAGAGGGGCACAGCAGAGGACAGATGAAGGCACTGCCCTCTCAGCACTGCCCAGTGACTCCAGTAAGGCAGAGGCACAGCCCAGGGAGCAGGGACATACCAGCACAATCACTTTGGCCTGTGGCTGCTGCGTGTTTATCAGGCGCACGATGGCCTCGATGCCCCCTGCGACTTCTTCTGCTGTGTTTTCATGGTTATTTGTTCCAACCCAAACAACAATGACCTGCAAGGAGAAAAAAATTTTACAGCTTTTCCAGAGCAACAGGAACAGGGCTGATGACCCTGAAATCCCTGAATAAATATCATTTATGGCCAGAGAGCTGCAGGGAGAGTGGGGCTTAAGAGTTCAGCCCTGGGCTGGCACTGCCCCCTGCTCTCAGGGAAGGCACTTGTGCCAGGCTTGCACACCTGCACATCCTCACTAACTCTGCAGCTCCTACCTTGGGTTTAATGTTCTCCAATTCACCRTTCTTCAGTCTCCATAGAACATGTCCCGTGGTGTCTCCACCAATCCCAAAATTCAGTGCATGGAGTGGTGAGAAGAGCTCTCGCCATATCTGCAAGCAGAAATCAATGTGCTGTGTCAGAGCAGCATCCTGGCAGTGAAGGAAAGACACCACATGGTGTCCTCAAGGTCACTGAGAGCAGCCATGAGCCCCTCGCTGAAAACTCACTCCATGAAGGGCATTTAGACATGGGATGAAATTTTATTTGGAGTGAGAAGAGACAGAGCTGCTGATGTTCAAGCTCTGAGATGKGGCACAAAGAAGGGAATGATCTCTGGAGCATTGATTTGCTGAACTCATCAGAGCCCCAGARTGCTGATCTAGTGCAGACCACAGTGTCCCTAAGCCCAGGGCCTTTGAAGAAGGAATCTCTCACCTGACTAAATCCTTCTCATCCCCAGGAAACAAAACTAAAACAAAGGGAAGCAGCTCTTGCAGAACAAAGCTGCTCAGCTGCCACCAGGGCAGAACAGAACTCTTCTTTCCCTCAACAGTTTTAGGGAACAAGCAGTGGGCCAATACCTCTGGTGCCCTGAATTTTATAGGGTTGAGTGTGTTCTGGCCATGCCAGGTACATCCTGAGGGAATTCAATGCCCTCAGGAGGCTGGAATCTCAGAGTCCAAGGGCTGTGCATGTGTGCCAAAATGAAGGCACTTGGTCGTGGCCTCAGAGAAGGAGGCAAAAGCAGCCAGGTAAAGCAGTGTCCAGGCACTGGGGAGCTCAGGAAGCAGGGCAGGAATGCCTCAGGAGRCAGCAGTGAAATGGGAACAGTGGAAATCATCAGTGCTACACGTGATCAGCAGCTACTGGCTTAGACAGAGATGCTCCAATTGCTCTGGTCCASCCCTCTCCTCCTTTATCCTTACCTCGTACTGCTGTAGCAACTGCACCATGGAGTCCCCCACGAAGAGCACGTCGGGCTCCTTGTCTTTGCAGTCCAGGACAAACCGATTGTGCTGTTAAAGAGAGCAGCAAGGTGAGCTTGGGGTGACAATTCCTGCTGGGCATCCATCCCTGCTGCAGGACAGGGACAGTTGCCCAACCAGTTTCCCCTGCTGCTATTCCCTCCACCACCCCTGCCTGCATTAACCCCTGAGCTGCTGGACACTCCAGAACCCCCCATGAGTTGGATGAAACTTGGTGAGGTTCAGTTTAAKGCYATTGCTCCCTGTCCTGYCACTGAGCATCACTGAACAGAGCCTGGCCTGACACCTCTTGGAGATGTTTGTATGGATTGATGRGAGTCTTCTCCTGCAGTCTCTCCTCACCAGAGAGATGCTGCAGACCCTGTTCCTTTGCTCCATCACTGCAGGACACTCAGGTGTGACAGCTGCCACCTCTGGGCTGTTGTCATCTYAGGGTCACACGTGTGGCCTGGCCCAACAGCCCCCCCAAAAAAGGATCCCACCTGCCAGCCTTACCTGTGACATCCATCTGTCATCTCCCTGAATGTCCTCAGCGGCGTGTGGCACTGCTGCCGGGTTGGAGTCCCCCATGCCCATCCTGTTCCTGTGGGAAGAACAGCGCAGTGCCAGGGCTGGGAAATGATTGCTGGAATCCGCTGCAGCACAATCCCTGCCCGTTCCTGTGCGTGCTGACAGCTGGCTCACAACAACAACACGGCTGTTGCTCCATGCCAGAGTGACTCTGCACCCGACATTCCCCTGGAGCCAGGCACGGAYGGACATCCCAGCATGGAAAACAAAGCACAGCTCAGGATGCTCTGCAGAGCCACACCTGAGCCCCGCAGGTCTTTAATAACTCAGCAACAAACGCTGAGAGTCGGAGGATAAATCCCTATTAGTGTCCAGAGATCCAGCTTACAGCTGCTGAGCCCCACAGCCCAGGTGGATAATCTGGCTTCGGGAGCAGCACATCGTGGTGGGATTGATCCCAGAATCCCAGAYCCGTTATGAATCGGGAGGAATCTCTGAAGATCATCCTGTCCCTGCCAAGACAGAGCAGGTGATGCAGGAATGCATCGAGGTGGGTTCAGAATGACACCAGAGAGATTCCCTGGGCAACTGTCCCAGTGCTTTGCCACTCTCCATGGAAAAAAGTTCTTTCCCATGTTGAGGTGGAATTTTTGTTTTAGTTTACGGGCATTGCTTCTCGTTTTGTTGCTGGGCACCACTAAACAGAGTCTGGCACCATCCTCTAACACGCCTTGGAGATATTTGTATGGATTGATGGRWYCSCTCCCAGTATTCCTTTCTCCAGACTGACCAGGCCCAGCTCCCAGCTCTCCCCATCCCAAAGATGCTCCAGCCCGCCCTTCATCATCTCAGCAGATCGCCAAGGATCTCCAGCGGGAAGAGCCCCGGGCTGATGCTTCCCGCGGCCGCCGCCCGCAGCCCGGTGTGCGCACCCCGCACCCGCTGCCCCTCGCGGCGGGCTGGGCTCAGCAGGGCGGCTCCGGAGCGCATCCCCCTCCCGTTCCCGTTCCCGCGGCGCCCCGCTCCTCCCGCCGCCCGCAGCGGTGTCCCCGGCCCGGCCCGGCCCCGCCCCGCGGTCCGCCCGCACTCACGGCGGCTGCGGCTCCTTCCCCCGCGACTCCATGGCGGGCGCGTCCCCTCCGCTCGGCCCCGCGCCTGCGCCGCTTCCGCTTCCGCTTCCCCCGCGCGCGCCCCGGCCGCGCTTCCGCCCCGCGCGCGCGGAACTCCCGCCTCCCGCCGTGACGTCACTGCACGGCTCCCGTGACGTCATGCTGTCCCGAGACGAGGCGCGATCGGGCTCTGGGGAACCATCCCTGATGGCCCCGCGGCCAGTGACGTCAGATCCATTTCCCGTATCTCACTGCTTTCGCCCCAAAACTGCAGCACCAACCACCCATCCGCGGCCCAAATCCGTGACGYCATTCTACACCCCTGTGACGTCATTCTGCCGAGGCGAGAGGCGCGCCCCAGCTCTGTGACGTCACGAGTTTCCCGTTTCCCGCGCGTTTCTCCCCAAACCCTCCCCGCGAGGGGGCGCCGCGCTCGCTCCGCGCGCCGTGACGCGCGCGGTGACGTCAGAGCCCCGCCCCCGTCGCCATGGCAGCCGCCCGCCCCCCGGCGCCCCCCCGCGGATGAGCTCACGCGGTGCCGCAGCCCCGCGGGGGGGTTCGCTCCGCGCGACAAGATGGCGGCGGCGGCTGCGGCGGGAGGAGGCGGCGGAGCGGGGGCTCCCCCCGCGGCCCCCCGGCTCTCCCCGGCCCCGCCGCCCCCGCGGCCCCCCGGGCCCGCCCGCATCGGCTACTACGAGATCGAGCGCACCATCGGCAAGGGCAACTTCGCCGTGGTGAAGCTCGCCACGCACCTGGTGACCCGCGCCAAGGTGAGTCCCCCGCGGGGGTCGCGGCGCTGCCCCGGGGAGCGGGGAGGGAGCGGGGAGCGGCCCCGAGCCCCCTCAGCCCCCAGCGGGCGCTGCCGGGGAGCGGGGCCGCTGTCACGGGTGACACGGGTGTCCCCGCGGCTCCCGTGGCACCGGGATAACGTGGAGGTGGAGCGGGGGGATGCTGCCGCGGTGCCCGGGGATGCTCCCGGCGAACCGGGGGGGACACGGAGGGCAAGGGGGGGACCGGTCGTTCCTTACCGAAACGAGAATGGAGATCGATGAGAATCGATGGTGGCCGAGTCTTCAGGGCCGTGAGAAACCGCAGGGAATAGCGCGGGGAAGGAAGGGCCTCCCGAGGGAGCGGCGGATCCCGGTGGATCCCGGTACGGCCGCGCTCCCCGGTGAGATCCGGGAGGAGCCGGGCACGGCCAGCCCTGGAGCACGGCGGGACATCCGTCAGGAACGCTGCTGTCTGTCCTGCTGATGCTGGCGGTGACACCGAGCTCCCGGACAGGGCTGCTCTCGCTGCGGGAACCGGGGCTGGCCCGGGATCTTCCCGGGATCTTCCCGGGGAGGAGAGCTGCGGGAACCGGGGCTGCCATGGCACGGCAGCACACAGGCCTTAACCAAACCCTGCTCTTGGCTTCGTGCTGGCTCCTTGCGAGCGCTGCAGAGGGAACACGCTGCTGGCTGGGGCTGTCCCTCTGTCAGTTCATGGGATTGTCCCTCTGTCAGTTCATGGGATTGTCCCTCTGTCAGTTTATGCGATTGTCCCTTGTCAGTTCATGAGATTGTCCCTCTGTCAACTTCTGGGATTGTACCTCTGTCAGTTTATGCGATTGTCCCGCTGTCAGTTTATGCGATTGTCCCTCTGTCAGTTTTTGCGATTGTTCCTGTGCCAGTTTCTAGGGTTGTCCCTCTGTCACTTTATAGGATTGTCCCTCTGTCCCTTTCCGGGGTTGCCCCTCTTGTCACTTTTTGGGGTTATCCCTCTGTCAGTTTATGGGGTTGCCCCTCTGTCACTTTTACCAGTGACATTGTTTTGAAACACCACCATTGCCTTGGTTTGTTGGAGCTCTGGCTCTTYGCCYGGATAATAAAGTGAAATTAATTTCAGGGGCTATTTAAATATCAGTTATAACACCTCCTGGACAGTTCTTTTCGGAGCTGGGCTGTTTTTGCCTGCCCTGACGGCTGTTYTGTGCCTGCAAGTGCTCGATGCCACTATTTAACCTGCACTTGAGGTGTTCTGTGCTGGTGTTCCCCCCATGATAAATCTGAACCTTGGAGAGAAACAGGGTGATGGGTTCAGGTGCTTTGAGTGCAGGAGACTGATCCTCTGAGCAGAGATTACTCCTGGAAAAGGAGTGATCCAACTCCAAGTTGCTTTCCTGTTCCTGTTTCCAGCCTCCCTCCTTGGGTCAAGGTTTCTTTTCAGTGCTGCTGACTCTGCAGTTTGCAAAATACCAAAGCAGGGACCATCTTTTGTGTGGGAATRGTTGGTTTTGTCTGCTGAATGGCAGAATATGCACACAGATTTTGTCTGGAAATTGTATACCATGTTTACAGGGCCAAGGCTGGATTTTGCAGATTGGCTTTGGGTGGTGGAAGGGGATCCTAAGAGATCCCAAGATCCTAAGCTTGGAAAGCTTTGCTTTATAGCAGTGTGGACTCATTCCAGGGTGGGTTGTGGACTTCATGGAGCACATTTTTGGTGGGATGATGAGGGGCTGGAGCAGCAGGTTTGACATTCAGGACATTCCCTGCATGGAGGAGATGCATCCCTGTCCCTCTGAGGGCTCCCCGAGCCTGGGGAAATACCTGTGCTGGAACAACTGCCATCTGTTCAGCTGAGCTGGGATARCTTGGAGCTGAAACTTGACCTGGAAGCTTTCTCAACTCCGAGGTCAGGTTTCCTTTCAAATCGCAGCCTCTGCAGAGGAGTGCGAAGGAACGGATTGGGTTCTGCCTGCAGACCCCAAGCACTGTGAGTTCAGTACTTTTCCTTCKCTGACAGGACTGTTGCTGTTGGCTCTGGGAAAGGAGAAAAGAGCTGCTTGGTTCAGGCTCTGGGACTCATGAGGTTACAGGGAGGTGTTGATGTAAATGCGTTGGAAAGGGCAAATCCTTACGGGGAAGTGTTTTTGACTGGCAGTAGGAATACAAAATAATGCTAYTGCGAGCTTGTCTTCAGCACAGTTGCACTTTTAACACTTTGACTTAATGGAAACAACTTGGAAGSGAGTAAAATCTTGGCAAAATGGTCCCATTTAGTGATCTGAAAGAATTCTTTGATCAGGAAACGCAAGCGCAGCCCGGTTGCTGCCTGTGCTGGCAGCCCCTTCCTGAGGTGATCCTGCTCTCCCAGTAGTAGCTGCGTAAGAGAACCAGCAGTTCAAATATAGCCATCAAATCCCTGCACAAACTTGACCCCGTGTCACATTCTCTTAGAGAAAAGCTGGTTTGCCCATCACGGCCCCTCCTTGGGAACTGCRCTCCTCCACTGTCTCAGAAGGAATTCCGCTGTGAATGTCTGTGTGAGCTTACAAATAGATGTACCCTATGATTTTGGGCCTTTTCCAGAAGGTGAAATTAATGACGTTGTGGGCTGGTGTCCATTGCTGAGCCTGGAATTAGAGGTGGTTCTATGGATGAGATGTTGGATCCTGTTTTTCTTCCTGATGGACATTTACCAGGTCAAGTGGACTTTGACATGACAGCTCGAGATAACAGTGGAGCATTCCTGCCTTGTGTCCCCTTTTCCCTGAAAAGAGAAGACGAGGGTAGTTGGGTGCTTGGTTTGATGTTTAAGGACCGGGATTTTCCTGGCTCTTGGGAAGTTGAGCYCTGGGTTTATTTAGGGAGAGGTGCAGAGCACCCAGCCCTGCTGGGCTGGCACGTTCTGCTGACAGTGARTGTTGCAGTTTACATGGAACTGCATTTCAGGAGCTGAATGTGGGTCAGCAGTGCTGGGGACACTGAGGAAAGGGAATGTTAATCATCCCAAAGGGCAGCAGGCCTGTATTCATAATTGTCTCTGCTGGAGCTGATGGAATAGAAGGGAACAGTCGGCAATTTACGTATTATCCAAGGCAGCAACTTACATTCAGTCCCTGCCCATGCAAAGTTGGACTGGTGCTCTGTCAGAGCTGCTCCGATGGCTGGGGACGAGCTGGAACCACTGCTCGGACTGGGATGACTTGGGCACCTGCAGGATATCATGCTGCATCCCTCCTTCTGTCSCCCTTTGCTTTGTCTCTTCTCATCTTTCACAAAAACCCGTTGTTTCTGTGCTAAAAATCCTCAGATTGACCCGCTGAAAGAATTTTTTTCCACCGAATTTCCATTTATAAATCATCCAAGTGACTTGGTTAGAATTCCAGCTCTGTTCAGGCGCTGGGGTTGTTTTTAATGCCACATATTTTCATAAGGGCTGSTCAGGGGATGTTCACGAGTGTGCAGAGGTGCACATACCTTATGTTCCCACGCTCTTTGGGTGTTGTGTTTGAGTCTTCAGGAGCTGAGGAGGACAGAGAGGGATGCTGTGGTTGCTGGGCACTGCTGAGAGCTCTCTSCTGTCCTGGTTCCATCCCTTCCATCAGCTCCATGTGACTGGAGGCACAGTTGGAGCATGGAGCAGCGTGTACCTGCTCACACTGCACTCWCAGAGCGTTTCACTGAGAGATGAGGAGTCATTTTCACATCCATCTTTCTCTTGAAATGGAATTGACAGTCCTGGGAGAACACGGCTCCCTCCGCTGTGCTGCCTTAGTTTCTTCCAGGCTGGTTGTCAACTTAGGTTTGAGTTAAATTCTGGCAGTGTCTGGTTAATGGGCAAAGCTTAGAGCAAGTTTCACTGACTGTTGTGTCGTGGGATCCTGTTTAAGGAGTACCTGGAGTTGTTTTATTGGATAGTAACCCAAATCCATAATGCTTTAATCCTTGGCAGAACGCAGCCCTTCTACTAGCATTGGCACAACTGGAGAAACGCTAGAATTGAGCTGATTTTTTTCCTATATTTTTAAGGAGTTAACACTTTTGTGGAGAATGGGAGACAACTGGGAGAGGATGTTCCCTTCCATGAGAGAGCAGGCTTATTCTCTGTGGTTTGTCTATGGGTGAGTTGGAGTCAACAATGGAACACATTTTTCACCAAAGTTCTTGGAGATGGGCACCGTGGCACTGGAATCCAGGATAGATGGCAGGCTGGCAGACCTGGTGGGCAGTTGGGCTTTGCCCTGGGAGGACTCAGGTTTGGTTTGACACACTCTGGTCACTGAGCACAGGACTTGCTTGGATTTCCGTCCTCTCTCTGAGCCCGGAGAGTGGAACAATGGTGGTGGCTGCTCCATCCTGCTGTCCCCAGCTCGGAGGTGCTGCAGCAGGCACGTGGCTCTGGGCTGGCYGAGGATGGCTCTCTGCACCAGCGTGCCCGTGTGATAAGCCCCGTGCCAGCACTGCCCTGACTCATCATCCTCGTGTCAGATGGAATTGTTCAACACTGCTGCCACACGTTTCATAAGGACCCACGCCAGAGCCTCGCCTGCTCACCTTGTTTCAATCATTTTCCTTTCCTTTTGCAGTGTTTGGTGGTGTTTCACCTGTCCTGTTTCTTATTTCTCCTGGCCTGTTCTCCTGTTTCTTATTTCTCCTTTCTATGAGGAAAGCTGTTTGCTGTGGATGGCTGATTCCTTAGGCAGCATTATCCTACTGCTCCCAGGGCTTTTGTTCTCCTTGCTTGTGTGCTGCAGGAGAGTTGTATTTTAGTTCTTATTTGGTTGGGTAGATTTAGCAAAAGCCTGAAAGSTAGAAATGAACTTGGGCTAAGCAGAGTTGCCACAGTGGGGATAAGAGGGAATATTTCTTAAGACCTCTGAGAGGCATTGTCTGTATCAACTGTGGGCTGAAGTACTGACATTTTATGTTTCATTACAGCGTTTTTCTTGCTGTAGCAAATAACATTTGATTACCAAGATGTTAATGCCAGAACATGATTGAATTGGAGACCAGGCTGCTTCTCAAGGAGTCTGACATTGCTAACAGGTAGAAGCAGGGCCAGGAGAGCCAGGTAACTGTGGGGAGGATGAACTAGGAGGTCTGTGGCAACTGTCCTGAGCCTTTTCAGGCAGGGAGAGTATTCTAAAAGAGCCAGGATAAATAATACTTACTTGTCCACTGTGTATTAGCTTAACTGGGGGAATGAGGTGGGTGCATCTTTTGTACCTCTTCAACCTGGCTGCTTCCCACCTCCTGTCTGGAGTCCCTTCCTCCCAAAATTTGGAGTACCAGAGCTCTGGAGTGCTGCAGCAGGAGCTAGGATTGACCCAACCAACACCTGATGAACAAAGTGTGGCACCTTTGGGCAGGTACAGAAACTGTGTGAGGAAAAGCCACTGACAGGA